AGAAGGAGGGAGGGCCTGTGGTTGCGATCAGGATAGGTCACTATGGAACGTTTTACTTTTGGATTGGAAAATGTTCTTCTTTTCTCAGTTCAATGTTTTTCTTTGGTTATCCCTGCCCTCACCTACTGTAGGTTGACATTCCAAGCAGTGTAGACCAGGAGAAGATGCAGTGTGTCCTCAGCAAAGACGGTATCCTCAGCGTTGACGCGCCCACCACGCAGCCATCCCTCACCGGAAGCGACGCCATCTTCCCTGTCAAGTCTTCACCTCCAGTGAAATCCTTGGACGTAGCGACCCCAGTGAAAAACCCCATCATCACAGAAGCTGATGGTTCCAGAAAACTTAGGCTACAGGTACATACTCAGAAACATTCTAGGCTTCCACTTGGATGAAGTGAGAAAAATTTGGGTAAAGTGCCTTTCCTAAGGACACAACATCAGGCCTCTGACGGAGTTTTTTCTTACCGAAAACCTCTGGTTGCGAGCCCAACAGCTTTTTCTCTCCTTTCCTTTTATTTCCTCAATCCTATCAATCATCATCGATGACTGATGCCTATGGTGCTATGGTTTGGCTCTTCATTGTTCTATGCAAAGTACGTCCATGTTAGATTTCTGTGTTATGAAACCTTTTTTAAAAAACATTTTTTTGTCTAACAATTCCATCTTTCTGCTGAAGAATCTGTATCTCTCTCACTCAGCTTTGATCAGTCGTGACAGGGCACTGCATTTTCCTCATTTTACAACACTTGTAAACATTTTCAAGTATGTTTGCTCTACAGTTTTTTTCACATTTGTGTGATCAGCAAGATCAACAAGATCATCTACGTAATAAGTAGCATTGACTTCACATATTATGTACGTCCATCAAAACAAATTTTTCAGGAAAGATACGCATTAATTTTTGCTTCGATTCAATGAGATACTTTAAATTTATTGTTTTCTGTTGGTAAAATTTGTAATCTTTAAGTACACGATTGGGAATCCTCATCTAGGATGAACAAAACAAATATTGAAATTGGAAAAATTCTCAATATACTTGTGGAGATAATTATTCAGAAGGTATGTGCTGAGTACGAGTGGGATGAAACAAAAACTACTATAATTTGTAATTTTATCCTTGATAAAAACAAGCGTACGTGACATCAGCACAATTTAGATCATTTGAGAGGCGGGCATCCGACCCTGCCTGTCAGGACCAGCCCCGGCTGAGAGAGATACAGCATCCCAGCAGAGAGATAGAACTACTCGATAAAAATTCGCCCCCTCTTGGGAACGACCCCGAGTCTTTTGTGTGGGACAGCAAAGCACGTAACTGCTGCACCACAGACGCTGGTTATCTTATTGGTAAGAGGTTTTAGTTTTAGTAAGAGTTTTACAGCACTTGCAATACAATAAGGTCATATAAATACCGAAGATTAGAGGTGTTATAAGAGAGTAACAAACACAAAAAAGGAGGGGAAATAAAGACGAAAGATGTTTGATAGGAAAGAAGAAGCAAACCACACCAGAGCACCTGCCAACCACCCACATGGTAAGAGGACTTTCTCAAGGTCAGCAGTCTGACGAAGAATGCATCATTATTGTTTCTCTATCCCCCAGGTTGACATTGGAGAGTTTAGCCCAGAAGATGTGGTTGTCAAGACCATGGACAGGAAGTTAATCGTGCATGCTGAACATGAGGAGAAGACAGCAGGACGTACACTACACAAGGAGTTCAACAAGGAGTATGACTTGCCAGGTTTGCCCTCAATAACATATTATTGGCTGTTATCTTGTCTTCATCTTCATCATCATTGCCTTTTTCACCCTGCACCAGGGTATAGGCCACGGACAAACACCTTCAACCTTTCTCTATCCTGGGCTAGCCTCTTGATGTTATTCCATGTCTTCCCACTTTTCTGTACATCGATTTCTGGGATTCTTCTCCAGGTTCCACACGGTCTTCCACTTGATCTTTTACCCTGTGGGTTCCAATCCAAAACTTTCTTTGTTATGCAGCTGCCTGACATCCTGAGAGTATGTCCGATCCGTTATCTTGTAGTTATTTTTATTTGTAAAATGTTTTTATTAACCCCCACCCCCCCACCCCCCAATTCAAAACAATTTAGACAATTTAAAAGGTGTGCGGTATGCGATCTGTCAGGGCTAACATGAGTTGAGTGGTGCACCCTTTCAGATATCTAACTCGCATCTTTTAAGTGCAATGGCAAAGAGCGTAACCATTACACAACTTGCTAGTCTCTGCTATCTGTATGATGACACATTGCATTGAGTGTTATGGCAGAGGCTGTTAGTGTTAGTTCAAAACATTAGGTAAGGGAAATTGCTCAGAGTTATCACTATGTCCTTTTTACAATTTTGATGGGATGTAGGCTGCTCTACTGTATTTTGAATTTTGCCTCCTAAACATAAAATTTCTTTTCCATCTTTTCTGCATTCAGCATTTTTTAAGAACTTGATAGAAAAGCCAAGTTTTTAGATGATTGTTCCATATTATAATTGAATCTCTTTGCTAGAATTGTTCTCTCTCCTTCCACTTTTCTCATCAGTTCTTGCATCAAATTGTTCACAGGAAGGTGCTACTATAAACAAAGCGCCGAAAATTAATAAATTATGCATGCTGTCAGTGCAGGAACGCACATCAATTAATTTGTGTTTCCACTCTATCTTCCTCAATACAGAATCCGTAGATCCAGCAACCATCCAGGCGTACATTGCTGATGACAAAAAGCTGACCATTGAAGCACCCCTCAAGCCTGCCCAAAGAAAACTCTACTCCGTCACACAGAGCCAGGATGTTAGGAAAGTAGTGGTTACAAAAGAGTCATCAGTCACCATCACAGACGGACAGAACAGACCGGTGGTCACCATAAGCGTGCATCGGAAGTGATAGACTCATTATTATTTTTATGTTATTTATACAAAATTCTACAAGTTGTAATTTTAAAAAAAACTCTCTCTCATCAACATTCGCCTGAAAGGAGCTCATGTTGTAGAGAAATAAGTATATGTTTACAACTCAGTGCTGAATTTAAGAAGAAGATAAATTACCTATAGGGTTATTTCCTATAAAAAGTCGTAATGCTCCATACAGTTCAGATATTGAATTATCTTAGAATTGCTATAATTGTTGTACAAAATTTAGCTAATGTAAAGATTTAGCCTATCTTGTTGTGTGCAAGTTGACAGCTGTTTTTTGCGTGTGGTCTTTACTTTCAGTCTGAGACAGGGTAACCCTAAAAATGTAGAAAGTGCTATGCCTGCAATTGTTCCTGTGCGTAATTATTTATGAAATTTTCATTATTTAATTTTTCTTCATTCATAAAAGTCACCTATCTCTCTATCTCTCTCTCACTTTCATGAGCTTCACGAACAGACAAGTGTGCGAACACACATGCAAACACACATACACGCACACACACACACACACACACCCGCACACACACACACACACTAACACACACACTAACAAATACACACTTCCATAGTTTCCCCAAATCTTAAAAAAATTTTAATAATGAAGGCAAATAATTAGATAAGTACTAAGCCATGGCTGGGAGCAGCAACAACAACAAACACCGTTGCTGCTACACAAGACAAATGAAAGTGGAAGTCCATGATCGCGCACGCCGGTCGGCAAGGCACCGGATGATGATGATGATGCATAGGCCTACATGATCCATGTCCCGCGATGGAATTTGCATCTTCATAAAATGCAACAAGGCCTCTTTATGTAATGTATACTCTGTGTGAGTTATGCTGAACTGTACTGTCATCAATTATTCTCTAGTGTACATTGCTAAATTACAAATCTTTTCTTGAAACAGTGGTCCAAATCAGGTGTTGAACTACAGTTTATTATACATTCTGAAATGAGGAACTTTATTACGGCAGTTGAGCTCACCATAATCTATGTGCTATTCACAAACTATATCAAAATATCTTCCACTTTCAGCAATACTTGTAAACATGCCTCAACCAAAGAAAAAGGCTACAAGTCAGCTTCACATTGCTATGATAATGAAACAGCTTGAAGGCCTTAAGTTTCCTGTTTATTTTCCTGACACTAGCAAGTTGTATAGGCTTTTCTTGTTTAGTATGGTACTGTATAATCTTTTAAATGTGTTTGCTGCTGTTCTGATGGTGATGCTGCTGTTTTTATCTGGCCTTTGTTCAGTTTTCAGTGAGTTAGTCCAACGTGTTGTCAGCTTGTTATCTTACTTTAACCATTTTCTGTTGTTGTTTTTTGTACAGTTTGTCACCCACCCATTATAAAAAGTTACATGTACATGTTCCTGTTTTGATACATATATCATGCACTCTATCTTTCATGTCTAGAAATATTGCTGGATATTAGGCATTGAGGAAGAGAGCTTCCTCATCGTTTCCTTACATTTAGCTATACATTTGTGGAAAATTGTTATATGATATATATACATGTACTTGGCCTTCGAGTGTTATAACATGGGTTGATGTGGCTTGCTAAGAGATGGCAAATGTGCAACCTGTATGCTGTATACAAGAACTGCAAGTTTGATGTGCAACATATTTATTACAACAATGATGTGCAACATATTTATTACAACAATGATGTGCAACAGGATATAAGAACTCGAAAGCTTCAGTCTCTCCTCCCACAACCATAGTTACAGTGATACTCTACCCAAGCAGCTTGATTTTTTGCGATACAAAACATAGAATTATTGTTCAGTTTCAGCAATGGGAAATGGAATTTTTTTTTTTTCACAAAATACTCTTTAACTTAAATTTAGTTCCCAAAGAAATTACTGGAAGATCTCAAAAGATGACAACAAGAAATGTCTTCTTAAATTCTCATAGTTTGTCAAGCTGCAGTGTAAATGGACTGAGATTAAAGTTATAAAATCACTCTTAATCCATGATTTGTGGCCTGTATACGGTATACCCTGGCTGCGTTTTTGACAATAACTTTTATGACATTGAATTAAATAGACCCATATTATGGCATAAGGCTCTACTTAATCTAATGGAGGATCTCCTGGTCAACAGGACCAAAGGTTTGGTTTTTCAAGTTGAAAAGCATTTCAATAGCTGGTCCTTAGTTCTTGCATTTATTTTGGAGCATTATCAATCTACGTAAAAATTATTGTTATATTGATGAATGTGCAATATTACATTTAATATATATATATATTAAATTAAAACATTGTCTCAACACACAAAGTTTGCTTTATGTATACCGTAATATATATATTATATTTATGAAGGGCAAGAGGGAAAAACCAGTGATGTCAGGTTTTTGCAGTTTTGAGATAATCGAAAAGCAAACTTTAAAGATTTATAACTCTTTTTCTGCTACAATGATCTCTCCACTGTTTACATTGACTTCCAAGTATGACCATTTGCATTGTAAATGAGAAATTGTCACAGTCCTCATAACATGCGTGTTTCGGTGATAGCAAAATAGAAAAATTATGTAGCAAACTGACAGCGCTGGTTTTCCCCTTATACGCTGTTGGAAAAGTCTCCACCTTCTAGGAAGTAAATGAATTATGTGTTTCTTTACTCATTTGTGAATACAAACAAAACTAAATGAGTCAAATAAGAAAATTGTGCACCGTTCTGTAATATTTACTTTTATTCTGTTTAATATTCATTTTCGGATGACGACTCAGAGTCATCAGACTCTTGTGTGGCACTTGGTCCTCCAGCATGGGGCAGTTCGGAGAAAAGCTGTCGGACCAGAACACCTTAAGGACCTTCATGTCTGCAAATTTGACAGCTTTGATGGTCAGCAGGCTCTTATAGAGGGGTTTCAGGGGCTGGAGTCTTGCTGCATGCTTCTTTTCCACCGGTTTCATAATGATTGCGGAGTGAAACGGACCATTCCAGCTCTCTCTATACTGCATTAGCTGTGGATGGGCGTGTGAGATGCAGATATCAAGCAGAGGTCGAGTGGGTATAGGGAAAGAGACATGGTAGTACAGTTTAAGGTTTTCGGACACATTGTGAAATACGGCTTGTGTCATCCCCACTACTGAAGCAGTGAGGGTTTCCAAAGGGCTGTCTTGAATTGCTCCACTCAACTGGCTGTCATATATCTAAAGTGACCTTCTCATTCACCACTGCCATGTCTCTGTAGCGTTCCATGTAGCTGTGGCCTCTCACTGGAAATGAGATTTTAATTTGTTCATACCTTTCCTGGTGGACAACAACACGATAGAGAAAACAGATCAGCGTCTAGATCTTGTTCTGGCCTGTGCACGAGTTACAATGCTGGCAGAATGTGAATAACGTAAGTACATGTAGCAGCATGCTGGCCACATCGTCTCCACCCCTTTTGCCGACTGTCTCGTAGTAACAGTACAGGTTTACTGTTTTATCACTTAGAGCGTAGATTTTAAAGGTGAAGAAAGATAGCTGCCAACGACTGTACAAATTGTTTGCCAAGATGTTTGGGCAGCCCAAGTTCTCCGAAAATTCTAAGGTTAGCGTAACATGGGTGCCGATGAATGATTTTCCAGTTTAGCAGCGCATATAAGAACAGTGCGGGGGTTCGAGCCTCAGCTCAGTCTGACGCTGTGTTCTTGGGAAAGGCACTTTACATGAATTTCCTGTTTGGCTCGGTCCTTTCGGGGATGGACTTAAACTTGGAGGTCCTGCCACTTAAATGACCTAGTAGTGTTGACAGGGGCGTTGAAACTATAACATTTCACCTTTTTTCACTGAAATATGATCACTGATTGGTCACAAAGGGACGCAATAAAGAAAAGTATGCTTGACATCGCTGGTTTTTCCTTTGATAAGATCATGACATCACTGGTTCTTCCATTTTGGGCTATATTTTCCAACTCTCACAGAGACTGGCAGCGTTGGTTTTTGCGTATGTGGCTTAGATGGACTAAAGCAGACCCAGCCAGGCATTAGGATGGGACAATAACCCATAATGTTTTTTAAAAACTGACATCGCTGGTTTTTCCCTTGTGCCCTTCATATATATATATATATATATATATATATACATGTGTATATATATATATATACATGTGTGTATATATATAAATATATAAATATCCTAAAGAGAATAAGTTGTTCCATTTGAAAAACAACGGATTGTATGACAAGGACCACAACTGAATGAGAGATCGTCTCGCAGTCATCTAATTATGTTCTTATTTCATTGTTGTAATTTTAGACACACTTTTGTTCTGGCATAGAAAGACTTTGTGTTGTTGCTGACATGAGGATTATTTATAATGACAGCAGCTGGTGGGAAAGCAGCCATCCATTGGTCCTCCATCTTTTACAACCTATTTAAATTTTGCACATTTTCTAAAGTCTGCAATGGCTATTTAGTAGCATAAAATATTAGTTGCAAACACACCTTCACAAGGTCTAAGGTTCAAATCCTGGCAGCACTAGGTCATATATTTCGTCTTTGGGAAAGACAAATAGTGGAATTTTCCGTCACACCTCCTGAGTGCATTTCTTGGCAGGAAAACTGGGAACAATGATCATTCAATCCAGGTGGTTACTCAGAACTTTCTGTTGTGGTTCCCATTTAGTACGATAACTAAGACATACTTTGCTAACTACTGTGCATCTCATATTTAATATCTCTCAACAGACTTCATTAATCAGCCCACCATTGGTCCTAATTATGACCGTCTGTATATAATCATATATTACTTTTACTTTTAAACCTAAAATTGACAACACTCTCTGTGGAACATCGTAACAACTCTAGCATACCTGCACTTATCATTGGTGCACTCGCTCAGATGATGTTTGATCGATAACAACTTTCAGTTCGAAATGAAAAGTTCATTTGGAATTTTTGATGGTGTCATTCCAGTATACATTGTACTGACTAAATGAAATCCAAAAATTGAAAGGATGACAGTGTTTGAAACTGATAAGAGAACAATGGCGCTATTTCAAATTTACCACAGAGTACTTCTGTAAAATACAGATAGGTCGAACATAGAAGATTCGAAATCACGCATCTGTCGAACTGTGCCTGTGGTCCTGGGTTTTTTTTCTTCTTTATCTTTGTAAGATATCCCTCAGACAAAAAATCCCTCAAACTACTGAGGCCGGTTCAGACGAATTTGAGCTGTTTGTGTTATACTGTATTTAGGTGACACTGGTTGTTTTTTTTTGGGGGGGGGGGTTGTAAGAGTTTTATGGAACATGCCACACAATAAGGTCATATAAGTGCTGAAGATTAAAGGTGTTACAAGGGAGTAACAAACACAAAAAAAGAAGAAGGGGAGATAAAGATGATAGATGTTTGATAGGAAAGAAGGAGCAAACAACACCAGAGCACCCGACAACCACCCACTGACACTGATTTGTACATTTGGCATAATGATTACCTCCCACAGCAGCAGACCAAACTCTTCAGGCTAAAACAGTTCTCTGGCTGTATTGATTGCGTCTACGTTTAATATCCTCAGCGCCACAATTTAGATCATCTAAAACTAGAAGGAGATAGGCTGCTTCACCTCTGCCAGTCACTACAGTCAGACACAGTGGGTTATGTCCAAGGAGAAAACAAATGTGAGGCTTCGTGCTGAAGTCAGGCGCTCGTCAAAATAATGAAATCCGAGAAATCGGCATTTTGCGGCCGGTTTGGAATTTTTTTTTTTCGAATATTTGTTTTTGGCTCAACACCTTTTTTGTCAAATTTAAAACACATTTGCCTGTGGATATTACAGAAAGGCACAATAAATGTAAATGTTCAGTTTCCAAGGACTCTCAGGCTATGGAAGTTATCAAATTTTGGCAGTCATTTTCTTGCTGATTTTACCTCTGAAACCAGGCAACCCTGGCCTCCTTCAATCGCAAATATTTCGACTTCTATTCACAATATAGATGGATATTTTTTTCACCAAAAGGAAGGCGAAGAAACAGGCTTTAAGATGATACTAATAACCCCATAATATGCCCAAAAATTGACGAGCGCTGGCTCCACCACGTCATGACACAAAGGACATTCTATAAAAAATCTTCCTTATGTGATATATATATGGAAATTAAACTTGTATCATGTGTGTTAATATTGTCCCATTATACAACATAACGCAGTAAAAGCCCTGTATAAGTTCCAAGGCTTAAAATCGAAACCAAAGAGAAAAATAAAGAATACATTTGAAGACAACTAAACACAAACCCACACAAAACTCCAAAGGATCGTTTTTTTAGTTTATTACCATCTCTTTTCAGGCCTTTTCTTTTTTTGGTCTTTTTTGTCTTTTTTATAAGTTTTAGTCTTCAGAACATTTGACGCAGACAACTGGAGTAATAACTCTCTGCTGAAGTAACAAAGCTAATCACTCTAATTATTTGCATGCCAAGTTCTTTCAACAACGTTACCGCTTCAAGTCGAGAGAAAAAATCTGCTGTTTACTTTTATGGAGTCTCAAGTCCAAAGCTGACTCAGTGAACAATACAAATACAAGCAGCTGGGATTGACAAGTGACAAAAATTTTTTACTGCTGTTCTGAAAAATTGGTTCAATCCTCTGGTGACAGTATGATATGGTTTTTGGTAGGATGCTCTCTTTCATACCACAGATCCTTTAGTTAGAGAGGGGTGCTGCGGCTCTTATAAAGACAACAGAGGAAACATATCTGTAAGCGAAGGGACAAGTAAAAACTATTCGAAGACACTACTAATTTTTGTTGTTGATCTGAGTCTATCCACTGTCATCGTATTTACACTGCTGGAAAAGGCAGCAGAAGTAAACAGTTCCAACATACATCATCTTTCATTACAGAACACTCATCAGAATGGTAAAGAGCTTTTTGCATAATTTAGCATAAAATTTAGATTCGAACATGCTGTTGCTACGCAGTGTATACAGGGTAATCAGAAAAAAGATCATACTAATAATATGTTTCAAATCTATACATACACAGCACACTACAAGATATGTACAGTGAACCTCGCATCCAACGAATTTGTCTGGTCCCACATCCAAAAGCAAAGTATGACAAACATGTGCATTCAAGACCCATAGTACTACAGAGAAGTCTGTCATAAGCATGCCAGGTTGCACCAGTCTTTTTGGCAAATGTAGGCTTTATTTTTTTACTGTTTTATGACTGTCGTCGATGTAGTTTAGTGTAAAAAGCAATAATAGAGTTGTTTCACTTTCTCTCATGCCCGCATGAACTTGCCCAGACTATGGCTAATGCTAAGAACCAGACTGGCCAAAAGAGAGGCTAGCTTTAAATGACTAGCTTGTATTATATGTTGGTGTATTCTCTCACAATATTTAGTTTCCGAACTTCAACATGTTGCCAATAAGATTGTATGGCATGATCACAAAAGTGAGAGAGTGGCTTGTCATGTACCCCCTATCACTTTCTTTCCTCACCACTGCACTACTTGCTGTCATGTCTGGTCTGCGGCCAGATTGAGCTTACCTGAAGGATAAATTTATTTGTACATATTGAGCTAAATTGGAAATCATACATTTAAAAAAATGCACCAAGGCTTATCACCACATGGGATGCGTGTGGGATAAACTTTTTAGCACACCACATGTTTTACTGCATGCTCACTTCTCCTGAACACACGCTTTTCCTCAGGAAGCTATTTCGTTGGGTCCAAAGTTGCTCCTTTGAACAGTTGGTTAGAGGTTTCTCAAAAATATTTAACCCCTTGCTTTGTGGCCATACCTGATACACCCTTACATTTCGCTGTAGTGCCATATATCTGCTGTGGGCGTATCTGGAACACCTTTGAAAATCCATGTTTTGTTTCATTCCTAACTTCGATTCAACACAGTTTTTTAATGAAGAGAGTTAAATCCTCATCTTCTGTGTCCACTTACCATTGCGTCTTGTCTATTTTCAGGCTGCTAAGTGCAGGAATCTCACATGGTAGCATCTAGAACAAAGCACGGTGTGTTGTCTTTTATACACACATCGTGCGAGAGTCACAGCCGACGCATAAAATCGATACACTTGCTCAGTCTCAGCACTTTTAAGTTGTTTACTTCATTAAGGCTTGTTCTACCCTCTACCCAAGTCTTGTCAATGGATGAAGCCATCTTTTCATTTCTCTCTCTTTTGATATGTATACAATTTGACTGGAAACGCAAACTTTATGACTCGTAAAACAAAACCAGGTGTGTTGCTTTCCGTACACACATTGTGAGAGACTGAGCCCATGCATTAAATTGGAATGTTTGTTCAGTCTCAGTATTTTCAAGTTGTTAACTTCAATGGCTTGTTTTACCAAAGTCTTGTCTGTGGGGATGAAGCCATCTCTTCACTTCTCTCTCTGTTGGTATATTTTGATAAGAAACATGAGGTTTGTGTCCAATAAAAAAAGCGAGGAGTATTGTCAATCGAACACACATAGTGCGAATCAGAGCCAACGCATTGAAGCGGAATGTTTGCTATTTCAGTCTCAATGTTTACACCATATACAATTTTACCTACTGATATCTGTCGCCTCTTATAAGCCAACATTAGTCGATTGAAAAATGTCACCCGCAACGCCTATTGCACTGAGAAATTTTTCTTAGCGTATTATAAGGTTAGTAGTCAAGAAGTTAACAGGAGTCCTTCTCTGTCTGGCCAGTACAAAGTTTCATGGAAAACAATGCCGGTGAATGTGAGGTTTACTGTACTTTCATAAGGGCAAAAGGTTACTAAAAGGCCAATGTTTCTACAAAGAGTCAAAGTTAAAGGTTAACCCTGATATACAACAACATTCATACAGTGATATGAAAGATGGATTTAGTTACTCTGTAGTCTCTGGTGGGGTGCCGCTCACAACTCGGAAGTCGTCTATCTATTCTGATTGAAAATACTGGATTTGAAGAGCCTGAAACAAAATAGAAAAGAGTAACTCTGAAAAAAACAACTAGACCAAAACATGACTCTCATTTAATCAGAAAAAATATCAAAGGTATTTTTTTATGCATAAGGCCTACAAATGATAATATCAAACCAAGCAGGAAAATTAACATTCCAGCAATGTGGACAATTTTTGTACAGTTGTACTAATTACTGTGTTTTTGCTGACAGAGGTCGAGTAGACAACGAAGACATACACATGTATACATAAGTTATTTCATCCTTCATCTACAGGGGCTGCATGCACTGCAGGACATGAACAGAACAGTTTTAAAATATGCACTAAACATAGAAAAAGAATGTGGGATAAGACAATGAACTACTGCGAATTCTTGAGAACAAAGTAACCTCGAATCTTATTATTGCACAGTTCTATCAAATTATAGGACAGCCATTACTTGAAAACTTGAGTGTACTGAGGTGGAGGTTGTAGGATACTTGACCAACTGGTAAAAAGTTGTCCTGCAGAGAGAATTTCCTCGCAAAAGTGTGTACCATCAAAGGACTTTATTATTTCAGGTGTCAGAAACATCAGTTGCCCACACACGCTACGTGATACAATAATACATGTAATATGAACATTTATTATAGGGCAATAACTTTTTTTAATAAGTTAATTTTCCATCCAGAAAAAAGGCCTCCTTGGTAGTTGAAGCAAAACAAGTTCATGTTGGCGTCCTTTGTTACTTTGTTACAGACTGGGTAAACAGTGACCACTCATCTCACTTGCCATTTGTGTATGAGTTCTTGTTGTGGCTTATGGGTTATGAGGGATCACACACTTACCTCACCAGCAGCTGAAAATTGGTAGCTATTGGTCAACAGTGGGAGGGACTACCTTACAACAACGAAAGGTGATTGAATTATAACGGCTTGCCCACAACGCCAGGGGCCAATGCCCAATTTATGACAAAATGTAATGGAGCCACTGAGGTGGCTGTCTAAGACAGGTGTTATTGCTTTGAGTGATATTGTGTGTAAAAATATGGTGGCCGTGGCCGCGTTGGACAGGGGCCCGTTTTATACAGTTAAATTATATAGAAAAAACGCAAGGGAGGAAATGGAAAGTGGCCGTTTGTACAGGTGGCCATCTTATAGAGGTGGCCATCAGGGCAGGTTTGACTGTAACACAGTAAACTTCAGTCTATCAATCAATGAGTCGATGAACCATAACAATGTTCTTTCATTCTCGTATTGTTTCATTATCAAGACTTCTTCAAGTGGGTGGTTGGCAGATGCCCTGGAGTGGTTTGCTCCTTCCTTCCAATCAGACATCCATCATCCTTACCTCTCCTCTTTTTTTTTTTTTGTTGGTAAGTTACTCTCTAGTAACACCTCTAATCTTCAGTACTTCTATTACCTATTATTAGTGTTCCAAGCGCCATAAAAATCTTTCTAAAAGCTAAAAAAAAAAGACCTCAAGAAAAAAAAAGGAAAGAAATACATTACAAAAAAAAACTTTCACTTTCAGGATAATAAATTAGAACTAACAGCTATGTAAGAAAATTAACAGAGTGAGATCCAACATTTGAATGGCATTAAATTGCTTCTTCCTTCAAAGCCAAGACCAAAACCAAACAAACCTTTCCAAAAGGGTGACGAATCTTCCTGAGACAGTCATCAAAGAGGCATTCTGGTACCTGAGCTGCTACTCACGCCCTCTGTTCCATCAGGCATTCGGTACTTCCCTTTGACCTTGGGAATTGGAGGTTTTTCCTCTTTTACAGAACTTTCAGGATCCATATTTGGCCCTTGAACATAAAAGTAAGAATATTGTCAAATTTAGGTTGCAATAAAGTGTGTTCATAATTGAAATCATAGCACCATATGATCAGTAAAAAATAGAATTACTCTTTTAAAAAGTAGCCTACCATTTTATTGTTGTTTCTAAACCAAAACCGATTTTATGTGGGTAGAATTTTAAATCATGCAGCAGAATGAACAAACATTTCTAACTGATCGTTGGAAAATTATATTAATATTAGCACAAAAAGGAAATGGCTCAGATCTTTTTCAAGTAGCAGTATAAATGATTATATAGGGGAAAGGATAAGTTAAAGTAAATCAGCATGGCCTGTTTGAGAACACAATAATATTTTTCTAAATAAAGATGAAGGAAATAATAACAGGTGGATATCTATAAAATTATACATTTTTTTCTGATATTTCTTTCTCTTCTGAACACAAGACAGTTACGCAGGCTTCTGACTTTTGTTGCCTGCAATAGAAAATAATAAACAATAATTATAATGATAAAAATAATATTAATAGTAATAATAATAATAATTTTAATAATATAATATAATTTCTAATACCTTTTATGATCTAAGTATAGGCACTATATAACTATTACAGTAGTCTCCGCCTAAACGCACGGTGCTCGGGAGGGCTCCTTAGCGTGTGTTTATACGGAGCGTGCGTTTACATGAACCTTTGCAAGGGGAGGAAGGGACGCATTCTCTCATTGCCTTGATATTCTAGTGACCTCCCTTTGGGGTAGGGGTCACTCTGGGCCGATAATGTGACGACACGTGACTGTTTTGCGAAGGATTCCCCGACAGGGCTTAAGAATACAACGGCGTTAAAAGGG